GGATATTTTTCAGGGAAATTTTTTGGGGAAATTCTTCGGGGATATTTTGTGGGGAAATTTTTTGGGGAAATTTTTTGGGGAAATTTTTTGGGGATATTTTTCGGGGATATTTTTTGGGGATATATTTCGGGGAAATTTTTCGGGAAAATTCTTCGGGGAAAATTTTTGGGAAATTTTTTGGGGAAATTTTTTTGGGGATATTTTTCGGGAAAATTTTTTGGGGATATTTTTTTGGAGATATTTTTTGGGGAAATTTTTCGGGGAAATTTTTTGGGGATATTTTTGGGGAAATTTTTTGGGGAAATTTTTTTGGGGATATTTTTTGGGGATATTTTTTGGGAAAATTCTTCGGGGAAATTTTTTGGGGATATTTTTTGGGGAAATTTTTTGGAGAAATTTTTTGGGGAAATTTTTTTGGGGATATTTTTCGGGAAAATTTTTTGGGGAAATTTTTTGGGGAAATTTTTTTGGGGATATTTTTTGGGGAAATTTTTCGGAAAAATTTTTCGGGGAAATTTTTTGGGGAAATTTTTTTGGGAAATTTTTTGGGGATATTTTTCGGGGAAATTTTTCGGGGAAATTTTTTTGGGAAAATTTTTTGGGGAAATTTTTTTGGGGAAATTTTTCGGGAAAATTTTTCGGGGAAATTTTTCGGGGAAATTTTTCGGGGAAATTTTCCGGGGATATTTTTTGGGAAATTTTTTTGGGGATATTTTTCGGGGAAATTCTTCGCGGAAATTTTTTGGGGATCTTTTTTGAGAAAATTTTTTGGGGAATTTTTTCGGGGATATTTTTCGGGGAAATTTTTTGGGGGAAATTTTTTTGAGATCGGGGAAATCTGGTTCAAAATAAATTTCGGTGTTTTCAAAAAAATTTTTTGCTTTTAAATAAATTTTCCTGTTTTTTTAAATCGAGAAATTTTTTTAAATCGGGGAAATTTATTTAAAAGCAAATAATTTTTTTTGAAAACAGGGAAATTTATTTGAAATCGGGGTAATTGCAACCTCTGTGAAAAGAGGTGAAAAAAAAATTTGTTTTATATTTAAGTAAACGAGCAAAAAATTTCGGCATTTTCAAAATTGTGAATTTTTTTTAATTTGCAAATTTGGAATTTTTTGATTCGTGAAAATCTGTGATGGGCAAAACTTTTCCAAAAATTAATTGCACCATTCGACAGCAAAAAAAATCACTGATAACGATAGTAAAAAGAAATTTTATTTTTTTTGCATTTTTAAGGGAGTCGGTGCTGACTATACGTATAGTTCAAGGGCGAGCAACCTTTTTAACCCACGGGCCAATTTAAATTTTGAAATTTTTTGGCGGGCCGCACGTAATTTATATATATACTAGCTGACCCGGCAAACGTTAAGCTAAGGTTAAACTAGTTAAAAATATTTATGTATATATTGATTGTTTCTTTTCTGAACAGTAAATCCAATAATAAAAAACAATTTGTTTTTTGAAGATGTTTAATAACGACGTTTCGGTACTAGATACATTCCATCATTAGGTTTATTCTGTCAAAGACAATGTTTTTTATAAACTATTGACTAATATTAATTAATGATGGTTATTACAGATTATTTAGAGAAAATTATAAAGGAATGGATTATGTACCAGTGTAAAGAGTAAAGAAAAGTAACTAAAAAAGGTTTTATATAAAATTGAGGAGCAAAAATTATTTACCTGTAATAATTTATATATCCATATCCCTATCAGTAGGAATCGAAAGCTTCTTGAATCATGCAAATCGGTCGATCCGTGCTCTCGAAAGTGGAAAATTGGTATTCGTCCTAATTGAAAAACCGGATGAAAATTAGTATTCGTCCTGATTACATACATACATATTACTTACATCCAAACGCACATACACAAACATCCATTTTTTTTAAGACACAAATGTTTAGAAACCTTTGAAACGTGAAGATAAGCAAAAAACATAATTCCGATTTTATGCGACTACTATAACTTACCCCGCGAGAAGTTAAAACTGAAAATAAAATTTGTACTGATTATTAAAATTTTTGTAAAAATTCTGATAATTTGATGTGCAAATGTCCTTTGATCATTTTTGAATGGCACTTTTTTTGGATCACCAAAAACGCTCACTCTACCATCGCAAAAATTTAGTCAATTCTTTATTTCGTTGCACAATTAAAATGTGTTTCGAATTTTTTAATCGGATAAAGAAAGGGGCTCTCTAAAAAATTGAATAGCTATTTTTTCATCATATGGCCCCCTATTCCGGAATGGGTAAACCTGTTTTTACCAAAAACTAATCAGCACATCTTTCCGGCAATTGAATCATTCAATCGGTTGATTCGTCTCAAAAGCATCGACAAAAAATGTAACCGCAAATAGACATGCATAAATCTATTTTTCCTAAGGTATGCCAAAATGTTCAGAAGGTTTTGAGACGTAAATAATTATAAACAATTGCGTTTACGTTTCGTTTTTAGTATTAATATAACTTACCCGTTATATTATGTTAATTCCCGAAATAAAATAAGAAACCCAGAAAATAAAATATAAAACTATAAAGCGTTTTGTATGTAAGATTCACCTTACAAAGTTGCAAAAAATGAACAGAGCTTCAATATTTCTCCAAAAAAGTTTATCAATTTGATAATTTTTATTTTAAACATGATACATCAATAAAAATATTAATGAGCCGCCCTCGAATAAGTTTGATTAGAAAACGAATAACATTCTATTTCATAGAAAATTATCTAGATCAGGATCAATTCTTAAAATATATTGCCGTGACACTTTTTCGGATTTAAAATGAGCCCGGGCCTCACGCGCCTATGGGGTAATCCAGCACTGACAACAAATAACACATTTCAAACGAACAATTATCCGACTACGTTCAGTAAAACTGCCAGCTACTTTATCATTGTAGAAATGTGCTTTTTGGCCGCCTTTCAAAAATTTGTTATCTAGACCTTTTTAACCTATAGGCGGAGTAACTTGGAAGGACCAGGTGGCAAACAGGTGTTTAATTTTAAGGGTATTTTACAAAATTATTAAACTTTAACTAATGCTAAAACACAATCAACGAAAAAAATACTTTTATTATGGATTTTCAAAGATTACCGTTTATCTCCCGATAGCAAAGTCATAAGAATCAAGGTTATAGCTGGTTATACATCTCTCTCTCCTTTCAAATATCGTTGTTAAACAATGCTTAACTTTACTGGTTTTTGACACATCGGTGGTGGACCTTTTTAACCCCGAACCTTTATATATTACTGTATCTATTCTTAGATAAATTCTAGGCAATTATAACTGGGAATATGTTATTCGACAAAATGACCCTTTGATCAATACCAGATTTAAGTTCTGAATTTAAATAACATAAATAAAAAATAATATAACCTAGAAAATGTTTTATAAATACAAATTATATAGTATATAATTATACAAATGAGATCTTTCAGAGCACCGTGTTTGAGAAAAATATGCCAAAAAGTGCACTTTCATATTAACATTTCGAAAAAGTTTATATTTTGAGTTTCTAGTAACACTTGCTATCCGTTTAATAACGTTTTTGTGTAATAACGTTTAATAACATCCTATTAAACGTAATTGAACATCATCTGTCAAAAACGTTTGACATTTGACGTATTAGCCATCGTCCCTTGCTTTATTTAAATTACGCTTCTACAAAAGTTTTCAAATTAAAAATGTAAAGTTTCTACGCGATTTTGAAATAATATCTCACCTTTCCGACAACCTACTGATTAGCACGAATTTTTCAAGACTAAGACTGGCCAAATCGGTTTAGACGTTTTCGAGGTTTAGCGGATCATTTTATCGAGAGCTTCATTTTTATATATAAGATATGTCTTAATAAAAAAAGTTTTTGAAAAAAATATGTGCAAAAATCGAAAAGAGTGTGTTTATTTGTTTCACATTTAATTAAATAATTGAAGCAGCTCAAAATATAATCTGAAATATTCATATTTATACAATTAAAGCAAATTAGAACATGAGCAAAAAATTAAATAAAAAGTCCAAAAAGTTTGTCATTTATCTATTTTATAGCCATGAAATTATCATAGACATTTTCTATACCCTTAGATTAATTTCTTATACATATTTATTTATAAAATAAACTAACTATATACAAGTGATTATATCTAAAGAATCTTTATATACTGTTATGCGACTAACAATATATGGTTGAAATAATATATGCTTACGATTTAAAAACACTTGTAAACATTCCATGTGGTCATATTCTTTTATACGATTAATACAAATAGTACATTTTTTAAATATAATTTTTAGGTGGATCACATTTCACGTATGTAAACATTTTTTGAATATATAGTTTATTTACAATGATTTAAATTATTTTTTAAATATAATCATTATTTTGCTATTTTATTTTAATATTTACAATAATTGGTACACAGTTAATTCACTTTTTTACTATAAAACTGATTACAGAAGATTTGTATATATGAGCATGTCAAATATAAACAAGTATAAAATATGAAGAAATTGCCAAAAAGGTGTAATGATTAAACACAGTATATTAAGCAATAGAAATGAATATATGATAAAATATAAAAGCCGAATGACTATTATTATAAACATATTAGAAATTGATGATTCAATTTATTTTCAACTCGCAATGTAAAATTTATATTAAGAATATTGTTTAAGCTGTTATTTTTGCTAATGATCAAATAAAATCCACTCTTCCGTTTAGTCAATCGACTTCAGCATTCAAAACTTTTTATTGGCTACTTATTGCATATGACTTTCTTATTCTATCAAATGTTTATATATAGTTCAGATAGTATTCTTTACATAATACTTAATTCCATCAAACTATTTTTCCAAATCCATCAAAATTTTACAATTAATAATACTCCTGTGCTTTTGTACACATAAATATATACTCATGAAAATAAATCATTGTGCTTCTAACATGAAAATTATGAGAGAAGACAATATTGTTCATTTCCCACTTGAAGTATTGTTGCTCCCAAATGATTTACGAGATACAGATTGTACAAAATTGCAACAGAACAATTATATTTGTGCAATGCAAGTGTGAAAATTTATTTTTCTCTCAGAACAGAAATGGTGTATTGCATTTGCTTCGATTTCATATAGAAATTATCTTCCACACATTGCATTCGAAACAAAAATACAATTCAATGATAAATAATCACTGCAATTCGTGTTTATTTTAACTGAAACTATTTCACTAGCACTTTTCTGAATTGTTTCGCACCTTTTTCGATTTTACTCATCTCCAATTGGTACTGGTGGAGCTGCCGAAATGCGAACAGAGCAACGCCAGTGCACAGTGCAGGGATAAAGACAGCGACAATGCGAGCGTCGGCGAAGCGGCACTCTTATTGCCATGCTGCATCGCTGCAGGATGTTCTCCTAAAACATAGTCATGTATTAATTACGTTCATTCTTCTGAAAGGAGCTTTATTTTACTCTAACCATAACTTTTTTGTGCAAGATTGATATTTAACTACTCTATATAATGAATGACAACATCTAACCAAAAGTGTGTTCGTTGCTAAATAAATTGAAGTTTATTTGTAAAAAATAATGATTTAATGAAAGATTAGATTGCTTGAGGACAGTTGGGGTACGCTCATGGCCTTAAATTGGGTAAGAGCGCTGGCCATACATGTCCTTGCGGTGTGAAATAATGTGGCCAGAAAGAATCTGATTTGGCATAATATGTGCGCCTTATTGAACCCATTTCTCACCATTGAGTTGCTGCAAATTAGATTGCACAAATGTCTGTGACATGTGAACATAACGAGCATTTGATACTTTAACAGCCGTTCCATTCTCTTCAAAGAAGTATGGTTTGAAAATGACATGACGTTAACATGCATTTACACCTCTTTCGACACAATGGAAACTTAAATTTAATTAATTAGCCCTTCTATACGTCTTCTATACAAATCATAGAAGTAAAATCTGAATGGAATTAAAACAAATATTCCTTGCATACTGATATTATAATTTATTTTTCTAAATTATAAAGTAAAGTAACATCAATTACAAGAAGCATTCGCTTTAATTATTTTACGAAATTTGAGAATTTGTTACGTGATAAATTGAAAGATAAAATATTTAATTACTGAGCACAAAAATGAATTACTGAACAATAATACTAAATTATGATGATAATTATTACATAGAGTATAAGAAAATATTTGTCAGAATAAATTGATGAAAGTAATATTGTATAAATAATTTTTTCAAACAGACTAATTTCATTTTTCTCTAACAGCGTTGAAAATTGAATTTGTAGTCTTGAGTATGTATAGACATTGTTCCTGCGAATATTACAAGAAGTTATATATATATATATATATATATATATATATATATACAGGGCCGGTCCTGCCTTGCATGCAATGCAAGCAAAAAATGCGGGCGCATGCCTTAGGGGGCGCCAAAACGAGTTTTGAAAATTAAATTTATAATATATTATTTATATTTTTATTATTTATATAAAATTTAGAATACTTTATAAATTATAATAAACAATCTAACTTAAGAAGGGACACACGGAGACACAATTAAAAAGCATATTTATTTTGCAATGTGATCAGTAGAAACAACTAATCAATTAATAACTCTGCAAAATAGTAAATAACAGCTCTGTTTATTGATTAATCCACTTATTCTATTTGTGCTTTATTCCAAGGTAACGTGGAATCAAAAAAGAAATTATCTAGTGTTCAATCCCATAAGCGCAAACCTGCAAAAGATTAAATTTTAACGCATTATTGACGAAAAATTGCAGGCTGATTTAGTTGAAACAGAACTTGTTGAAAATATGAACAAATTGGGAGCCAGTGCTTAGAAAATAGAAAATAGCATGTTTATTCCGAGAAATCGAATTGTAACTCTTGTTTTTATTGCAAATGTTTTCATTCTGATGAACTAAATTGAATGTTGAAGATATGCGTGCTTAGGGTTATGGAAATGAAACAAAATTTACTGTGGAACGAAAATCTTGAAGCATTTTTAATATTGAGTGGTGTCTATACCCTAAATTTAATAATTTAACTATGCAGAAATAATACATACCAAATATAATTAGTTATTTTTTCAATATAGTTCAATTTGGACAATACTTTTAAAATACATTAAAAATTTAACTTTAAAACAACAAACTGATTCTCTGAATATGACGAGAAAGCAAGAATAAATACAATTCGGCTCTTACGATATCAATAAGGAGAAGTTTACGACGCAATTTTGGATATTGTAAATGATGAAAAATTAAATTAAATTAAATTTTAAAAAATCCAACATGAAATACGAGTGTTATGAGTTCTAGTTTTTTTTAGCTCTCTTAGCATGATTTGCTCAATAGAATAAATTGCACAATAAATAAGTGAAATGTTTTAAAACAAATATTAATATTACACATACGTTGAAAATAATTGAAAATTTAAAAATATTTGATTGCAATCAACCCGCGAATCGCCTCGATTTTCTAAATAAATTTAAAATCAATGTATTGTATATGCTTTTGGATTATATCTAATTTTTCCGCACTAAATCCAGAATAATTAAAAATTAATTTTCAAAAAATATGTAAATATTTATATAATTTAAATGATAAACTGTTAACACAGGAAGCGCTAAGGACCCCAGGACCAGCCCTGTATATATATATATATATATATATATATATATATATATATATATATATGATTTAGTAATTAATTTTGATGTTGAAATATATGAGTGAGTTCTTGAGGGCGATACATCAAACAAAGAAAAGCCAAAGATTTATAAAATAATCTTTATTTCCAAACGTTTCGACATTCAATTTAATGTCATCATCAGTGGATATTACGTTGGTTGGTTACATATAGAGAAGTGTACACAGCACTAGAGATTGGCACTAACATTTATAGGCAATAACATTTATAATAACAGATATATGCCTCGGGACTCGCAAAGTACAGAAGTCTTGACAGAAATTACATAATTCTACTTACATTTTTGTTCAATAAAACTATCATTTTTCTGTTTACATCATACAAAAAATGATAAAAAATGCATAGTGTTGACAAGTTAGTTGTATAAATGTTAATGCCAATCTCTAGTGCTGTGTACACTTCTCTATATGTAACCAACCAACGTAATATCCACTGATGATGACATTAAATTGAATGTCGAATCGTTTGGAAATAAAGATTATTTTATAAATCTTTGGTTTTTCTTTGTTTGATGTATCGCCCTCAAGAACTCACTCATATATATATATATATATATATATATATATATATATATATATATAAAGCGAGAAGTTTTTCTTCAGATGGTGAAATAATATAATAAAATTGTTCTTGGGCATCCATCCAGTAATTAAAAACAGTTTTATCGAACGAAAATGTTTTTATTATGAAAACATACGTTTCAGATCTTGATTTGACCTGTCTTCAGTGCATACAAATAAATTGAAAAAAACACACAAAAACACACGATTGCACAAAAAAATTATGAAACACAAATTGATAAACGCCGAGTTATGACAAATTTTAAATAATTGTAAAATTAAAATATGAATAAAAATAAATAATATATTTTGTTATAAAAAAACTTATTTCAAACGAAGCATGTTGTACGTTTGAAGTTTGTGTAACAAGTAAAAATATATATTTATGTGTGTATACAAATATAGCATACCGTTAATGACGTGTACATTAACGCTGGCTGGCGCAGCTATTGTCGGTATGCAGCTATAGTTTCCTGAATCAGACGCTTGCGCCCTGGAAATAACGAGTCTCGATGTCAAGCCGTCCGTCCATTCAGTGGTAACGCTTACCCGAGCGGTAGTATCAAGATCGTTCGGATGTGGAACAGTTTCTTCTATTATATTAGGACCTAATCAAGCAGAAAATTCAATAAATCAAATAAATTATATGCTAACTTAAAATACAAGTTTCAATGAATACTATAAATAATCGATGACATTACCTCTGTACCAGTACATTGTTCCTAAATCATGAGGACCTTGGCTTATGACACATGTGAGTGTGACTGCACTGCCCGTTTTAACGTATAAATCCGTTGGACCGAGAATTCTAGCTTTTGCTTCTGAAAATATAATAATCATGTTTATCAATTTTGAACGAAATACTTGATTCGCACGGTTGCAATAAACCTCAATTTTTTTTTTAAACGAGTAAAATACCTTTTTGATATTATGAAAGCTAAAAACCTTAAAATTATTTAAAAAAAAAATCAACTCAATATCTATTTTTTTGAAGAAGTTATAGATATATATATATCTCTATACGTATGATCCTCTGAAAGCGTTTTTTTATCGTTCCGCGAGCTATTGTATGCTAGCTGCCTCTTTTTCATTATAATACCTCATGCACATGACCTTTTTAATGTGTCAGCATCTTTGAACACCACGGTGTATTTTGTACATTAAATTAAATGGTGTATTTAGTACATTATATTAAAAACTTTAAATACGTTTTTTTTCAAATTGACTTTTTTCAATGCGGTGCCACAAATTAAAAAAAAAACTACAAGTCGGATCGACTTGCATTTTTTTTTAATTTGTTCACCACTGAAATACCTAGTCCCCCTACCTCAAACAACTTGATAACATTACGCAAAAAATTTTTGTGAACCTTCTCGAAAACAACGGCCTTTTTGGACACTTTTTTTTAATAGCTGCCATTTTTTTTCTTCTTGCTTTTTTTCTTTCATTTTGGTAGGGGGAATGGATTCAAACTTCCTCTTCAACGTAGTTTCGTTTTTTTTTTGTTTCAGGCGATGCGCAACGGATTTATCTATGGCACCGCAAACGAGATCGATTTTGCGATGCCCACTTTGGCTCCCCCTGGTTAAAAAATTACGGCGACAAAAAAAGAATAAAAAATTTCTTAATATTCTATGATTTTGTAATTTTTGTTTAAAAAAAACCGCATGCCTTTATGATAAATACATTTCGAGAAAAACAAAAACAAATACCTTGCATGTTTTGTAACAAAAAAAAGAACAACCCCCTTAAAACAACATTTTTAATATATTTTGGTACCAATAAACAACAACTATTATCTATGTCTGTATCACAGAGCACGACAGAAAACTTTATATTTAAATGTCGACTTTTACCCAATTTTTAAAAGCCCATTTTTATCAAGGTACTTGAAATCTCAATGAGAGTGAAACCTAAAAACACGTTTAAAATACACATAAAATTATTTTTCTGCTCGCAGTAACCAATTTATATTTTCCATTTTAATAACTTCAAAGATTCATAGAAACTACGAAAAATGTAGATATAATTTCTAATCAATAAACTTGCATTTTTAACTTTTTTATTATTAATAAAAAATATCCACATTCAATATTAAAATATGAAATTATAATGTCAAGTTTTTCTATAAAATACTTTAGATGTGGCTTTATTAACTTCCCGAAGGAGAAGTTTGTTTTCATCAAAAAATCCGAATCGCTAATTTTATGTTTTCTCGACGTTTCGAGCCATTCTGAATCGAATGAGACCAAATTTGGAAAAAGTATGTGTGTGTGTGTGTGTATGTGTGTGTGTGTGTGTGAACAGATTTTTTGCCGTAAATCGACGTTTTCTCCAAAACGGTTGGACCGATTTCAAAAATTTAAAAGCCATTTGATGTATCTCGATGAGGACTATCGTCTCTGAGCTTTGTGCGGCGATCGGCCGGGCCGTTTCTTTGTAAATTGCAGAAAAGTGAAAAAAATTTTGTCCACGTTTTAGCCCGCAATTCTGAATCGATTCTGAAAATTCAAAAACCGTTCGATAGATATTGGTTGGGAATCGTGCTGATTAGTTTTTGGTAAAGATCGGCCGGGCCGTTTTCTTGTAATAAAGTTTTTAAAAAAAAAATTTTGACGATTTTTATGATTATTTTTTTGACGAAAGATACCATAGTTTTCTAGGTCATACTAAAATATTACGGCCCTACGACAACTGGTTCAGCTTTAAAAATTCGTCAAAGTTTGCAAAAATCAGTATGGTCTTTTTGGCATTTGTCAAAATTAGACTTTTGATCGACGTTTTCTCAAAAACGCCTGAACCGATTTTAGAAATTTAAAAGCCATTTGATGTACTTCGGTGAGGACTATCGTTTGTCAGTTTTGTGCAACGATCTGCCAAGCCGTTTCTTCGTAATTTGAAAAAAAGTGTTTCGTCCACATTTAAGCTCATCCTACCGAACCGATTTTAAAAAATCAAAAACTGTTCGAAAGATATTAGTTGGGAATGATGCTGATTAATTTTAGGTGAAAATCTACCGAGCCGTTTTCTTGTAATTAACTGTTGAAAAAAAGTGTTAAATTTTCGTCCACATTTAAGCTCATCCTACCAAACCGATTTTGAAAAATCAAAAACTGTTCGAAAGATATCATTTGGGAATGATGCTGATTAATTTTAAGTGAAAATCTACCGAGCCGTTTTCTTGTAATTAACTGTTGAAAAAAAGTGTTAAATTTTCGTCCACATTTAAGCTCATCCTACCGAACCGATTTTGAAAAATCAAAAACTGTTCGAAAGATATTAGATGGGAATGGTACTGATTAATTTTAGGTGAAAATCTACCGAGCCGTTTTCTTGTAATTAACTGTTAAAAAAAATTTAAGCCGTTTTTAATGGAACTTTTTTTGGCGATATACATCATGGTCTTATAGAACTTACTGTAATATTACGGCTTTACAACAAGTAGTTTAATTTTAAAAATTTGTCAAACTTTGCTAAAATTATTATCGTTTTTTTTTAAGTAAGGATTGATGAAGTATATTATTTACACATTTTTTTGATCAAGTCGATTATTTACACATATCGGGAAGTTCATGTAATTTGCCTCAAGGCTAAATACCAAACCAACTAGTTCATATATATAAAGCCACGTAAATGGCTACTCTTGTGAATAAAGGAAGGGAATTAATATTACTGCATTGACAATTTAAATTAATATATTATAACAAACAAAACATTATCTGATTAGATTAACTGAAGAAAACAAACACAAAATTTGTTTTACTATTTTCAAGGAACAGGGTAAAATATTCTTCTGATTCAGACATTTTTCATTAAATCAACATTTGTACTACGATGTAACTTTAAAATGTTTATGTACGCAAACAACGTTGAGTCAGTACGCATACAACGACAGATCTCTATTCACATATGCGACGACTAATCACAATCGACTCGTATAGGAATGATATCATCGAGAGCAAATGACGAATCATTGGCACTCGACTCTGCCGTAACGCACTTCCGTTGCATTTGTACGGATTTACACCATAGTCGCGCCTAAAAAAGTTTTACTTCAAAATTTGTTGCGCCCCCCCCCCCCCTTTAATTTTTCAACAGTTTAATTTAGTATTTACTAAACAGATATTATCAGACTATAAATTAATTTGCAATATTATGTGAAAATATGCATAAAATACAATTATTTTTTGTTTTTTTTATATCAATTCAAATTTTTTGGTTTATTTTCAAAAATAGTATTCTGGAAAGTGCGTTCCGCACGCCTCTTGTAACGGTTCCGCGCCCCACAAGTTGGAAACCAATGCTATATATAAACAAAGACAAATTATATTAAAACGCGCAAATTTAAAACCAGAACGTGAATTGTAAATTCCTGGAAGGCTATTAGAAGTGCTGACATCTACAAGACTTGAAATCCGTTATCCCCATTCTTATCGAGGTTGATTTCCTCGTTATGAACAAACCCTCCAAAAGGTGCCTCTGTGAGTATCATCTAAGCTTTAGCATCGTACACGAATTCGAGGCATTCGAAATCGTTCATACATTCGCACTTTCGGCCTAAGCGAAGAGACAAGATAAATCGTAAAATGCTCCTAAATGATTAATTATAACGCATTGCGCCCAGGGTTCGGAAGGTTCTACATAGTTAATTAATGGCATTGTTCAGGCTTTTCAACACTCAACTGGTGGCAAAGCTTTATTGATTCCCGAATTAAAAATATACACCAAGTAATTTGTATAACTAAATATTTCAATGGAAGAGTACTCGTGTTCAATTTATATCTAACACCGATGCATACATATCGCTGAACTTTTGCATACGCAAATTATATTTAAATGATTGTGTATTTTTGTAACGACTATGTATGCGTAAGTATAAAAAATGATTAAGTAAATTGACATATTCAATTCGAATAAAAAAAAAAATTGCAACATGCTATATAGCTTAATGTTTAATGTATTTATAATTTAAAATATAAGTATAAAGAATGTAATGAGCATTATATTGAATAAATTAAAAAAATACCCAAAGCGATATTGAATATAGAACTTATTCATTTTACGTACAATTCATGTGCTTGTTTATGCTGTATTTAAGGTTTCCTCAATACAATAGGGAAAACATGACACGGTGGCCTTATTTAAAATTTGGCTAGTTTTAGTAACGTTTCTTCGATTGCATAACACGAAGAAAGCTATAATCACAATCCCTTCAGATGTTTAGCTTGATTATCACAGTTTTGTTATAGTAACCAGTTCAACGTGTAACGCGTCTGCAGAAGTTTACTCTAACTACTTCTCAAAACAGAGACTAAACAACTTATTCATTTTGTATTTGTTTTTTTAACTTCCCGAAGGAGAAGTTTATGTTTTTATTATATTTTTAACAGCAATCGGAACCTTACATCCTATGAGCTGTTGGGCTGAAACTTCTCCTTACTTCGTATTTTTAGATGGTAACCCAATGGTTAATCTATCCATATTTGATGATTTTTGTTATTAGAATTAATCTAATAGGGCTGACTTTTTATTGGTGCAGCAATGCTGGGCAATGGCTATTTTCACTTGGAAACACATATTGCTATTTATATTTCCAAGTGAAAATCGTTGTCACTGCTGTCTGACAATAGGCTGCTCGAAGTGGGTATCGAACCCGCGGTCTCTGAAACAAGTACCGTCGCTCTTAACCGCTTACTTACGGGCGAGCCCTACTTATTCATGAATGGCCTTTTCAAAAATCTTACAATCAGTATGTCCTTAACCTATATGTCATTCTGTCGGCACTATTTGAATGTAATGGATTTTATAATGATTCGCATTTTCTCTTAAAAGATATGTAATTATAGTTCTTATTCAATTAAAAGACTATTTCGTTGGCAGTCAACGATCCCAAGACGAGTAAAGAAAATTGATACTGATTATAATATCATTAAATAAATATCATTAAAAAACAAAATAGCATATAATTTTGTCCATATTTTTTCTATATGCTGTAGTATGTAATAAAAAAAATATCACATCAGTCGTTTCTTTCAGTTTCATCCAAAATTACAATAAACAATAGCTCGAATATATTGAAGCCAGTTACAAAAAAGTAACGATTTTGATTTGATTATTTGAATACTTTTTGCTCAAATAAGACAAAATCACAATAAGCAAATGATGAAATTTGCATATGAGATCATAACAATTATCCTGAAAACGCTCGTTGGCACCGGGACAACAACTCGCCAAGAAATGCCGCAGAGCGCACAATGTGCAGAAGCAAGTGGTAGCGTCGCCCAGTAAGCACGTACGTGCCGAGCAGAATTAATCGGCATGCCATTGCAGAGCGCAACTATGCGGCAACTATCGCGGCGGTTTCCGCGGCGGTTTTGTGTATTGTTAGCTAGAACGTCGTCCGACGCGTTATGACGTTCTTGTGTACAAACAGTTGTGCGTTATGAACGAACCGACCGACCCCGAGAATACGACTTGAATTATTGCGCTAACTGTTAACAATAATTCCTCGAGTGCCCGTTGCCGTTCTGCATGCTAACATACAGTGCTATGCAGCGATGCCACGCGCACCCACCGTGGGAGTGACCGACCGTTCGCGACCAAAGATAGTGCGGCGCGGAATTAGAATGCCAAGCGCCTGACTAGATTTATGAACGGGCTCGGATCATGTAAATTACTACAGGGGCAAATGTTATTGAATTTTTTGTTATACCTAAATTTAGAATCTGCTTGGCTACATATATTGACTATGCTTATGTGCATGGCATCATGCATTCAAGCAAATTGCTGGAACTCGTTATTTATAATTTTTGAAGGCTTTAATTTTTCTTTTGAAAATATTGACAACTAGCTGTAAGTGGAATTCTGTCTTAAGGGAATTAGGGCATCGTGCCTTAAGGCAAATTGCTGGAACTTCCCGTACCGCAATTCAAAATCTGAGTAATTAAAAATAATCAATAATAATAATCAATAAAAGTTGATCAGTGATTTGAAACTTTTAATAGAATTTCGAACCATATTAAACCATTCTATCTTAAATCATTTATTTTGAAATATTTGGAAATTCTGAATTTTTTTCAAAGCAATCGTACTGCTTTAACTGCAATAAAGACGAAATATAAAAGCGCGTAAGCGCCGCGTCGCCGTCTAACGCGTTAACATTGGTACGGAACCCATAGGCATGTAAACAAAATTTATACTAAAATCTCTATAAAATCTCTATAAAATATCTGGTAATTTAATGCGCTTATGTCTAATGCTCATTTTTGACCGACAAATGGCTCGTTTTTTTACTTTTTCTTCCATATCTCCAAAGTCGTTGGACCTGCCTTTGAACTTTGAACAGTTCTTCATTTAGTCAATACACATAAAATGTTTTTTGAATTATTCAAATCGGACGCTCCGTTCTCTTAAAAACTGAGTTACCGTTTTCGGCATTTTTTGCCTCGTATCTTCGGAACGGCTGGACCTGCCTTTGCCAAAAGCTATTCAGCACGTCTTCTTATCAATACGAGTCGAATGTTTTTTGAATTATTTGAATCGGTTGATTTGTGTTCCCGAAATCGTCGACAAAATTTTGTATCCGAACATACATACATACACGCACACACACACATACATCCAATTTTTCTAAGGTATGCCAAATGTTTAGAAGGTTTTGAAACGTAAAGATATATAAAAATTTTCATTTGCGATTTTTTGCGATTACTATAACTTGCCCTACGGGAAGTTAAAAATAGATTTTTTTGTAAATTTTGAAATTTTTTTGACATGTTGAATTTTTTTCAAAGCTATCGCGCAGCGTACCTGTTTTAGAGACAAAATATCAAACATTTGTAAAAACAAAAACATTTTGAATCTAGGTAAAGAACCCATATAAAAGTAAACTAAATTTGTATTTATCATTAAAATTTCTATAAATGAATGATTATTTTCGATCGTCTAATGGCACTAATTCATACATTTTTGTTGGATCTACGAAACCTCTGGATCTGCTTTCCCAAAAATTTAATCAGTTTTTCATTCTGTCAAAGTTAAATGCTTTTCGAATCCTTCAAATCGGACGCTTTAACCTCTCAAAAACTGAATCACCATTTTTGCGCTTTTTGCCCCGAAACTTCAAAAGAACTGGACCTGTCTTTGTCAAAAAACTATCCAGCATGTTTCCCCATCAATAGAAATCGAATGTTTTTCGAATAATTCAAATCGATTGATTTGTGCTTCCGAAATCGACGAAAATTTGTATGCGTACATATATACATATATACATACTACACACCTACACATACACATAGATCAACTTCTTAAAGGTGTACCAAAATGTTCAGAAGGCTTTAAACGTAGTTATGCAAAAATTTTCATGTTCGATTTTTTGTGATTACTATAACTTATCCTATGGGATGATAAAATAGACTGGCTGATCACCCTTTCAATTATACTTCGATTTTGTTTCAATTCTTTGCAAAAAGTTGTTAGAATAAAAAACATATGATTGCACAATATTCGAATGATAATTTTCAAATATGTGACATACAAATATAACACAATATAGTGTTATATAATCGTCGTTATGATACGAAGACTATAAAAAATATTTCCAGTTGAATCGGGACATTTTATGTCCCGTATATAGAATTGAGACAATGTATTATATAGGTAATATTTGTAGTTGGTATTGCAATACAATGTTACAAATGCGATTAGATTTGCAAGATTGTGATTGAGCACGGCAGCAGATCAGAATTTCAGGAACAGAATTGTGTCAGACCAGACTGTTATTACTGTCACCTAGTATTATCATTGTGAAAAAGTTACCTGAATTATATATATATATATATATATATATACCTGAATTATATATATATATGTATATGTACTAATATATTAACATCCAAATTAAGTTAAAAGCTATAGCATTGATTTTGCTAATATTTTTTATAAAATATTATAAACAAACTTATTAATACTATTATTTAATATACAATATTTTCCTGTTATAAAACTATAATAAATGTAGATGCTCACAAAAAAACATATTTTTAAGACATGTAAATACACTCATTCTCCCATTTTGACCTTTATTACGAAATTGTAATTTTATTCATTATCAAATATACACACTCTCAAATATTCTATAGCATATATACTTGTATTAGTAGATTCGTTTACAGAAAGCCCTATTCGTGCGCGAAAAAATTATATTTCAATTATTTATACATTAAGATCTCGACGTCATGAAAACACGTGATACTGTTTAAAATGAAACACAATTGCTTTGAGAATTTTCCGAGCAAGGAAATGGAAGCACGTTAACAAAATAATCGCAAAGAAATAATTTATTATTGCGTTTTATTAGCATGCGCCACGTTGGCTATTGTGCGATATAATGTAACGGGAAATTTATATAGAAAAGGATTTTATACGGTTGCGCTGATATTTGTATACATGCATTAGAAATCAGAATTTAAAATTATTACAATATTATGTATAAGA